GCATATACATACATACATACATACATACATACATACATACACACACACACACACACACACACACACACACACACACACACACACACGATATATATACCTATGTAAGACACATAAAGAGGTAGATTAAACGGATTTAACACCTTCACCATCGTCTGCTCTATCAGTCAGTTTTTCTCCATTTCCACTAAGAAGACACATACTTCCCTAAAAGCCCTAATTGTATCCATTAATGATTGATGAACGCCCTGTGTCACACATCGATAGACAATGTATCACTGAAGTATCTTCTGCATTTCTTTTCCGGTTGCCAAGCAGAATTTTCTGGCTGTAATGCATGAGGTTACATTCATGTCCGCAGCAGGCGTCTGTCATTGCAGAAGCCTCATTTGTAGAAGAGGACCACATGGTATCTGCGTTTCATGATGGTGTGCATATAACTCATGACTATTTATACTGGAAATCTTTAAAGTTCTTCCTTTAGTAGCTCATTGGCAAATCAAAGCCTGTTGCATTTCTTTGAGTGTATGCCACATGATTTCTCGGGACATTTTCACATAGCTGGTGAGCAAGAAGGCACACTCCCCAATCCCATGGTGAATCCATTGTTGGTTTATTCCTTTCGGTTCTCTTCGGGATGTTTAAACGCTGTGATAAGATTGTGTGATTCCCATGAAACTATTCAAACTCTTTCTGCATGGGCCGGTGACACAGAGCACGAACCCCAAAGTTGTGTAAACTGCCTTAACTGGATACTGTCAGAGCTCAGTGATGTCTTGTTTGTTTACGGTAATAAATGGACCATTGAATCGAGGCTGTAATTCATCATGTTTAGACACAGTCAGGCCAGTGTTACCTCATATGTGGCTCAGTACCACATTGGTCCAGAAACTTTGTAGTATGAGATTTAGATTGTAGAAATAGCCATAATTCCTTCGATATTCTAGTAACGTAAACGGGAAGACAAACTGCCAGTTTTCATTGGCTTAGGATGCTGACCTGTTTGGGGGGGGTGGCTGGGGATTGTTGGGAAGAGGGGAAAGCATTTTCAGCCTTGTTAGTTTTTCCTGCAAATTATGGTTGTGGTATGAAAATGACAATGGGGTGAAAGATGCAGTAAGTCTTCAGCTTAAATGAGGATAATTTTGTAGGTTTATGAATAAAAGCTGTAAGCAAAGACTTCCTCACACACAAGTTCACATTCAGCACATCCCGTTTGCATCGGATCTTGAAATAAACCTCCGGTTGGTAAACAAATCTGACATCCAATTCAGGATTGTTAAAATAATTACTGCATCTTCCTTGCCCTGACCTGGAGTTCCTTAGAATAATGCTGTTGTGCCAGTTTTTCCTTGCTCAGTTGTGAAATCATTAAGGGCAGAATTTTAGAATGATTGTGGGAGAATGAGAATTGTTAGACTCTTGAATACACACAGCACTCGAGCCAAGTCATTCTCCTCTTTCTGGCATGAAGAATCCATGAACATGAGTTTGCATCAGCCAAGTCTTGCACAATTCATTTTTTTGCTGGATGATAGTGAACAGCAAAGTTCACTTTGTATATGGTTTAATGCAGTGGAAATGTGTTACCCTGAGATGGTTCCTGAGGTCATAATCAGACATATTAATTGTTGCTCAAAGTAGTACTAAAACTGTGGTAATTTCTCAGAATTTGTGACCTTCACTATGTACTTTTAAAAAAAAAAAAAAGTAAATTATTCTGTTATGTTGACAGCTGATTGACTGTCATGCATAGTGTTCCGTGTTTACACGCTGTACAGTGCTCCCTGGTTTACAGACACAGTAATGATGGCTGTCCTTTAGAAGGAAAAGCAACGTGTTGCATGTCGGATGGTGCAGTTTTGTTTAAACGGGTGTGTAAGAGGTTTTTTTGGTAGTCGTCTTCTTTGGAAGCACCTTTAAATGTAACAGCAGCTGCCCCTGTCATGCCTTCCTGCTGCTAGCCACGGAGCTGAAATGTCCCCTTTAAATCACTCCTTGGTAGCACCTGTATATTCTTCTGCATTTACTGTGTTTCAGGTTCATTTCAGGTTCGTTTGTCACCTGATCATACGACGTTCCTTCAGAATTGACGGGGTGTGATTGTTACATCAGTATAATGCGTGTTGTCTGACCCTTTGTGTCATTCCACCCCCAGGGCTCTGCAGACCCCCTGAACAGCGCTTTCCACCTCACCTACAACATGGTCTTGAATCTTCTGCGTGTGGAGGAGATCAACCCAGAGTACATGCTGGAGAAGTCCTTTTACCAGTTCCAGCACTACAAGGCTGTGCCAGGAGTCATTGAGAGTGAGTGCTGGTCTGAAGCGGACCTCTCCAGCACTACAGCAGAATGTGTAGTATAGTGTAATGTTTTGGAAGAGTAGCTTAGTATTGAAATGCCTGTTAAAAGGTGAGGGTGCACCTCACGTATGATATCCTTAGTGTGGGCTTTCTCTTCATCATTTCTGGGGTAAACATCTCCCCCTCCTTGAGGACCACTTTTCCAAAAGTATATGGGTGCAGGAATGTTCTTTTTTTTTTTAACATAGAAATGAAGAAACTGGAGGAGCAGTATAATGCCATAGAAATCCCCAATGAGGAGAGCGTGGTGACGTACTACAAAATCCGACAACAGCTTGCCAAGCTGGGGAAGGAGATGGAGGATTACATCCACAAACCCAAGTACTGCCTGCCTTTTCTGCAGCCAGGACGACTGGTGAAGGTGAAGCCAATGAACTGCTCTGTGATGCGTGTCTCAGGCAGCCCATGTTGTAGCACTGTGGTAATTTCAGCTCAGAACTAAGCTGCATGTGCTGATTTCTCCTCCCTGCTTTCTCCCTGTAATGCTAAAGTATAAGTTATAGTGCAGTTCATCCCATTGAACTTCTGTTGGACTTTTGTTCCGAAAGGTAAAAAATGAAGAAGATGACTTTGGATGGGGCGTTGTGGTTAATTTCTCCAAGAAATCAAACGTGAAGGTAATTATAAAAAGGCCGTTAGAAGCCAATGCAACTGCTTAAAATTATGACATTTTACATCTGTGAAGTAACAGCAGGATCATGGGGAGGGGGGGGTGAAGTCATAATGAAAACAATATTCACATCCATGTGGTGATGTTGCTTAACTTCATAAAGGGTTTTTTTTACCCTTGCACAAGGCAGCGTTTTGACATCTCATTTGGCACCATGTGCTTTGCGTTCACACGAGCCGAGGTCCTGGGCTCCGCTCTGACGATGCTCCCTGTGCCGCAGGCGAACACCGGCGAGCTGGACCCTCTGTACGTGGTGGAGGTGCTGCTTCTCTGCAGCAAGGAGAGTGTGAAGAATGCCGCTACAGAGGCAGCCAGGCCCTGCAAGTCCGGGGACAAGGGCGAGATGCAGGTCTGCAGGCTGTGCCCGACTCTCCCGCTCCACCCGGCAAAAGTAGCAAAGGAGCTCAGAGTAAACAGTGACTTTGTGCCCCGAGGTAGCTAACGGTTTACGTAATGTGGTTGGGCACCTTAGTGCAATATGATAGTAGGCAGGATTCCTTAATTATAAGTACTGTAATGTCCAATTGTGGAAAGTTGCAGTAGGGCATTTTATTACTTTATTCCCAAAACTAAAGTTGAGGTTGGAATGAAGTTCCAGTCCCATGTTGGGTCTTGTACAACCATCTTGACAGCCTTCAGCAGTAGGGTGGAGGACGTTTCCCTTGGCCTGCATTGGCCTTTGAGTAACGCTAGGCTTCCGTTTGTGCTGCTTGTGTTATCTGCCACATTTACACCATGGAGAATTCTGGTTTGACTTAGGATGCTTCTACAACGGTGAGACTGTCACTTTATCACTATAAAGCTCTGATGTTGTCAGTCTTGAAAGATAAACATTTAGTATATTGTAAGGATGTGTGGGTCCAGGTCCTGCGTCGGCGATGGACAAGACTTGGAGTGACCAGTAAAATAAGTTTTTTGTTTTGTTTTTTTCCTTTCCCCCTTCACTGTGCAGTTTTTCACAGGCCATCTGCAGTGCTCATTTCTAAGCAGCTGACAGCTGTGAACTGTATCGATTGATATCACAGGGTAAAAGATAATGTTAATTGTAATGAAATGTGCTGGGTCAGGACTTCCCTGTTGCTCCCTTTAATACACGCCTGCAGTTACATGAATGCTGGTTACATATTTGTGCCCAGTTGGGTCCATCTTTTATTTTATCAATTATTATATCATCCTGTCTGGGTGTCCTTGTTGGTAACCTCTTCATGACCTTTGCTTTTGAAGGCCAGTGTGTTGAAGTGCTATACCTCTTTTTTTATTTTTTAAAAGAACACATCAAAAAAATTGAGGACAGTTTCACCCTTTAGCCACCAAAGCAGGAGTTCATGGCATTTTCTCATTTTAAACATCTGAATCGATAACCACCCGTAAGGTGCACGTGAAGCAGTGGTTTAAAATGAGTTCTTCAGGCAAATAAGCAAACCTAAGAATTGCTGTCCCTCTTCTGGCTCAGGTGGTTCCAGTCATGCTGCACTTGCTCACCGCCATCAGCTCTGTTCGTCTCTACATCCCCAAAGACCTTCGGCCGTTTGACAACAGGCAAAGTATGCTGAAGTCAATCCAGGTGAGACAGCAAGTACATTACTGGGGGTACTCATTCAGCATGATCTAACTATGGCCGTCTTTATGGGCTGAGTACTGGGGGTACTCATTCAGCATGATCTAACTCTGGCCGTCTTTATGGGTTGAGTACTGGGGGTACTCATTCAGCATGATCTAACTCTGGCCGTCTTTATGGGCTGAGTACTGGGGGTACTCATTCAGCATGATCTAACTCTGGCCATCTTTATGGGCTGTTTGCTCAGCCAAACTTCTACCATATGTCCGCTCGTGTTTTGGAGGGTTAAAGATGGATCCATTAAAATTAAGTGGTTCATCAAGGTTTTGTAGATGCCAGCATGTCAGAAGCCCGGGGTATTCAGGGCACAAACTCCAAATGATTTGTCTAGGTTTGTTTAGCTCTGTTTATTTTTTTAATCAATCGTGCAATCAGTTTGAGGTCTCTGGGCAAAGCCCGGGATGGCTTAACATGCTAACAATGCCTCTGGTGTGTAATGTTTTCATTCGTAGGCCAGCTGTTGGATCTTCATACGTTTCTCACTGAGGAGATTTCTGTGGATCACTTTATGTCTGGTGTTAATTATCCTTTTTAAAGAGCTGCCTACATTCATTCATTCATTCAATCGATCATTGCACTCAGGAGGTCCAGAAGCGCTTCCCAGACAGCATTCCCCTCCTGGATCCTATCGACGACATGGGCATCAAAGACCAGGGACTCAAGAAAATCATACAGAAGGTGGAGGCCTTTGAGCTCAGGATGTACTCTCATTCTTTGCACAATGACCCCAACCTGGAGGCTGTCTATAAACTCTGTGAAAAGAAGGCACAGGTTAGTCCTCCATCATTCGCCCTGTAGCCTGTAAAGAATGAGCTCCTTCATGCAGACATTCTGAGAAGGTTACTGCATTTAAGACTTCTGTTTTCTAGCCTGGAGGTGTATTGGTTCCTGCACATTGTGATTTGTGTTGGGAGTTCTGATACTACTTGGAGTTTATAAAGAATTTCCCCCCTCTTTTAAGTTACAAGGTATTGATTAAAAGCAGTTTGAGTGAAATCTGAAGGAATATATAGTTTTAAAAGGTACAATGACAGCAAATGCTGTTTATGAGTGCTCTTTTTCTCTTTAGCCAGATGTTTTTAGGTGAAACCTTCAGAATGATCCCTCTGGAACTAGACTGCTGTTTCTGACCAGGAATTTTCACCTGCTCAGCTCTAAGTGCTATAAATCCCTTGGAAGCGTTAATCATGTTTTCTCTTGAGCGTTACCTGTTTAAGGCTCATTTTAATCAGTAACACATTTCCAGTCTAGGAATTCTATTATAATCAAAATTAATGTAATGTCTGGGAGCAGGTTTTTGTCAGTGTAAATCACCTGGAAAGAATTTCTGATTTCTCACGTGTACTATTCAGTAGTGGAAAAGTATGCATTGTCATTCGTTGTGAAATGTTTAGTCAGACAGTAATGCTAAATTCTGGTCTCGTCCACTTTTTGCTAACCATCTTAAAGTTCTTTCCAGATGTAAGAAGAAGTTAGAAGCAAAGTAGAAAAAAGCAGAGTAGATGCCCAGCAGTCATATGTTTTACTGTGCTTCTAGGTGATTAAATTTTGTCTAACAGCATGTTTGTTAGAATAATACTGCTTCACAGGTTACATATTGGCCAAATACATGAAGTTTTCCGGCATCTGTCTCCAATGATATTTTGGAGAATTTCATTGTACTCTGTAACAAGTGAAAAACACTGGCATGTACTGTGTTCACCGAGGATTCACTCTTACATCTAATTCTCAGTTAGAGAACCACAGAAGATAGATTTTAGTCAAAAACATTCAGCCGCAAGATGGATAAATTCTGCTGAGGTTTGGCCTAGTCATAAAATATTTAGTTTCCTTCATAAAGGGCTTAAATCTTCATCTGGATAGTGTGTCCTGTGGCTTTTGATTTTGTTTTTAACATGGAATATTACAGCCTGCTTGAGCAATCCATAGATTGCATCATGGACTCAACCAAAACAAATCATGTCAAGAATAACCAGGATATTAGGAACCATCTGCTGGCTTGTTGCAGGCCATTTAATTTCAATGGGCTGTGACTAAATCTGGATGTTTTCATGACTTCCATGCAGTCCTGGTTTTCTTGACCATATGTTGGCTTAAAGCCAGTCTGTCTATGTCGTGCGTAAATGGCTCCACCCTCCCCAGATCGCGGGCGACATCAAGGCCGCCAAGCGGGAGCTGAAGCGGGCGCGCACCGTGCTGCAGATGGACGAGCTGAAGTGCAGGAAACGCGTGCTGCGGCGCCTGGGCTTCTCCACTTCCTCTGACGTCATCGAGATGAAGGGCCGCGTGGCTTGTGAGATCAGCAGGTAGGAGGCGTGTTTCCCCCGCTGCGCCTCACTGACTGGCAGCTGGGGATACCTCCTTCCGGTCGAGGCGCTTCAGTGAACAACGGGCTCCTGTTGTGTAATCCTGACTGTCGCCGGTGTGTAACGATTCATCCACTTAGAATTCCTTGAAGAAAACAAAGCATCATTTAGAGCCTGAGAAGATTTCCTGTTTGTCAGGCAACGGAAGCATCATTTCCAATCAGATCTGGTTGCTCTCAGAGTGCAGTGTGTAATATGATTATCTTGGTGTGGTCCTACCTTGCCCATCGTTAATGGTTTCATCTGATATTCTGTACATTAGATGGTCTTCCGGTCATTAGTCAAGGAATTTAGTGATGAAATAAAAATGTTTTTGCTAAATCATAGTCCATCTATGCAGTATGAAATTCAGTGTAGCTACATAAGACTTTCAGCTTACAGTATTATTGCTTCAGTTTTTAAAATATAGACAGTTAATATAATCTCTAAATTACAGAAAGAAATTTTTACCACTTTGGTAATGTGTGGTTCCACATTAGAACTACAGCCTTTTACTTGAAGTCCTGTGGTTTTTCGTTTTACTGTAGTTGCGAAACTTGTTTATCTTGTGGTGGTTTACTGAGCCGATTGACTCGAGGGCTGCTGGTACTGCCCTGTTTGTAGTCTGTAATACCTACAAACTGATAATTGAACTGGGATTGTTTTTGTTTTCTAGCAATTGCATCACAGCGAAACCTTTAGTAGATTAGTGTGAACTAAAGAATTGATTTTTTAAATGAATGTGTAGTGTTTTTATATCTAGGAAAAAATAAATCTGAAGGAGAAATATGCTCCTTGTCTGAATGTTAGGGGAGATGTTCAGTAAAATCATGTCCACTCACCTACATGCTTTCTTTTGTTTTGAAGAATTGTTTGTATACAATGTTTGCGCAATACACGCGTACGTAGCGAAATGCCTTGCATAGCATCATTTGCCAATGCTGCCATTAATATCTATACAAAAGAATGATATTCCCAGTGTTGTCTCCATGAAGAATAACTCTTAGCGCGCTTGATTCCTGAGACAACATGTGCACGTCACACTCATTATTGTGGCCTGAAATGCTGTCCCTGCCCTGTTTGTCTTTCCAGTGCAGATGAACTCCTGCTGACAGAGATGGTGTTCAATGGCCTTTTCAATGACCTGACCTCGGAGCAAGCCACTGCACTGCTCAGCTGCTTTGTGTTCCAGGAAAATGTAAAGCTCACTTTTTCCCTCCCTACACACACTTCTCAGTCTCACTTATAACTGAGAGAGCCTGTTACACAACAACAAAAGTATTTATTACACACTTACTGGTCTTACTCTTATGGTTTGTAATGATCCGCACATTAACTTTGCTTTTGTAGTATTTGCTGCACTAATAGAGAGGGCAAACAGTTCGGAGCAGAGTTCTCTCTGCCATCCTTTCCAGCTGCCATCCGGATGGAGTCCCTTGGGCAAGGGTGGGACCTGAACTGCTTTGGCCGTGTTTTTGAATACAATTTAAATCCTCTTAATCTTCACAGGGATCTGTCATAGCATGCCTATCTACTCTACTATCTACAGCATCTTAACGTGTTTCTGGTGTGATTCTCAAGTACTGAGCAACATTGCCCTTGATCCTAATCCTTAGTTTTGACCATGCGTTGTATTCTGTCTAGTAGTTTGTAAAATATTGAAGTAGTCTTGCAATTATGTTGGTTGATAGATTATTTTTTTAAAGACTGAAAAAGTTTCATTTAAAAATGTTTTTGTGGTTGAGACTGACATTTTGTATCCTGTGTATTATTACCATTATGGTAATAGGATGATTTTTATCATGGGTGGGGCAGACAGGGCAACTCCCCCATCCCAAACGAACTATAGGCACCTTGGGGGCATTTCCTGGGCAGGTGGGGCTCGGATCTGGTGATGGATGCCCTTTGAGCTGGAGCAGCATGCAGACTGCTGATGGGGTGTTGGGGAGGGCTGCTTATACTGCTGCTTATACTGCTGCTTATACTGCTGCTTATACTGCTGTTACACCAGAGTTTCCCAGTCCGGTCCTCGGAAACCCACAGCTGTTCCACGTTTTTTCTCCCTCCGGGCTCCCTGCCAGACAGTCCATTTTTCCCCTACTGGCAGCTGGCAAAAACATGGACTGTCTGTGGGTCCCTGAGGACCGGATTGTGAAACACTGTGCTGTGCTATAGTCAGACGTGGCTCACAGGAGGCATGTGACAGTTTGTAGCTATAAGATGATCAATTCATCTTATCTGAATGGCTGCTGGTTCTGTTTTGTAGTTTGGAGCAGTTAAAGATGAGGTTTTGCCCCTCATGTCGGTTGATGGTTTAAGACTAGCATTTTGTGCCTGTTCACCTTTTTCTGTCACTGTCTTTTGCCTTTGCACTGTGGGTAATGATTTCTTTCTGACATCAGACGCTCGCTGCATCCTTAATGAATGTTACTGCAGCTGCCTCATCCATCAGCACCTCTTGCTTCCACTTGACTAGTCTTGGCAGCACAATTCGATCGTAAAGAGTGCTGGCCAAGCTCTGTCCAAAGCGAGAGCAAACGGGTCGTCTCTCGGCAGAAGCCTCGGCACCTGCCTGACGTAAAGGTAGCTCGGTATGCTTGGAAAAAGCATTTGCCGTTTGGGACATACAGGTTAGGAAAGTTTCTCGGATATTTACTTTGGGAGGTCATGCCTCGACTGTGCATGCATTTCAAATTGCCCTGGTGACATTTTGAAATGTGATTTGTTGATGGTCATGATTTGATTTATAGTTGACCAGCGGAGAGTTTGGCCTGTACTGTATTCAAGCAACATGCGGATCTCCCTCTAGCTTTTGGGTTTGGATTAGGCACGGGGTGACCAGGGCGAGTGTCCCTGAGGCTAGGAAGATCCAAGGTGCTGGTGCTGCTCCTGGAATGATCAGCTTCTCTGGGAAGGCCCTTAATTCATACCCTCTTTGACAATTCACCTCTGCCAAAATGGATGTTGGAGTTATTTAATGCATTATGAAATAGAGCTCATCTAGAGCAGAGTGGCTCATATATTGACAACAGCGTGGTCTTTCTAAGACCTAATACTGAAGAGTGGGACAGACTCGCTGGAGGTTTCCTTCACTTGTCTTTCGCCCCGTCGCTTCTCTGCTTTCGCTGCATGATATAACTGCAGCTGCTGACTTTTCTACCACTGTGGTGATTCTAGTATCCAGGCCAACATGACCTGAGTCTCCTCTCACACAAATATCACTATCTAGTCATTTCCTACCCCTTGTTCACATAAAAAACTGGGCTTTTAAAAAATGGATATCACCATATGGTGCTGAGAAGCGCTTGCTGCAGTTTTTTGTTTACCGGTATAAAGTGTTAAGTCGTCTTGGGAAATATTTATGCATTAATACAAGAGCCGATGTACTTCAAGTTAATGTAATTTTAGTTTTTTTTTTTTTATTTGTATTTGCTTGTTGAGCTGTTCCACAAAAGCAGCTGTTTTTAAAGTACTTTTGTCAGTGACTCAAGATCATCCATGTTAGAATTTCTCAGCCTTTTGTATTTTAATTGTATGGTCCTGTACTTCATACTGCGCTGTCTTGACGACAACTTCTCTTTCAGGCGAGTGAAATGCCGAAACTGACCGAGCAGTTAGCTGGGCCCTTGCGGCAGATGCAGGTAGGTGTTTGTGCGTCTCTTGCATGATTTCAACTTTTTTGTCCATGTGTTCTGGATGAGTCCAGGCTTTTGTGCTTTTTATATACCAGACGGCAAAAGGTCCACAAAGAAATTTCCTGCCCTCTTATAGTGCCTCTGCCACTTGGTTTCAGGAATGCGCCAAGCGAATCGCCAAAGTGTCCGCAGAAGCCAAGCTGGAGGTGGATGAGGAAAGCTACCTGAACTCCTTCCGCCCTCACCTGATGGATGTAGTATACACCTGGGCCAATGGCTCCACATTTTCACAGATTTGCAAGATGACTGACGTGTTTGAAGGTAGATGTTGAGGTCTCCCCGATTTTCTTAAACTATGACCAGTTTAGTTGGCCTTAAATCTGTACATATAATATTTTTATGACACTCTGACTATCTAGAAAACCTGTATTTTAAAAACAGTGCTGTATACCAGGTGTGACTTGGTAAGGTGTGGCTCAGTGGGCTTAAGCCTCTGTGCCTGTGATCAGAAGGTCGCCGGTTCAGCCTCAGCACGTCTGCAGGTCCGTGAGCAAGGCCCTTAACCCCCCAGCTCCCTGGGGACCCCAACTGGTGGCTGCCCTTCACAGCCAAGCTTGTTGTCACTCAGAGTGAGTTGGGGGAGCCGTAAAGTATTCAGAGAACCCAGTTTACCTACAGCTTCAAATAAAAATAGGGCTCAATTCATCCTATACAAGCATTAAGAACTCCGCTCCCCCCCCCCCCCCCCCCCCCCCCCCAAGGGTGACTCATTTAAATCCCCTGACTTAGATGGGGTAGTTAGGTCACACAGCGCTGAGCCACTGTCCCAAAAAAGGCATGTCACCAGGCCAAACTGACTCAGTCCCTTGGGTCTCATGAGTAAGACAGATCTAGATTCAGGCTTGTAGACACACTTGTTTTTCAGTGGTTGTCAAGACAGAATTGTGATTGGTACTGCTGGCGTGTGTAGATTTTCACCTTTCATGACACTTTGATGGGTTTTACAGATTATAAAAAAACAGTTCAAAAGGTTTCAGCAAGTTTAGTTGTAGCCAGAAGTTAAAGGCAGCTAGTGACACTAAAAGATGTACAAAATTAATGTTTGACATACTTTGCATTCTGTAAGCTTTTAGACACATATTGATCTCAATCCTGAAAATGGGATGTTAGCTTGGTGTCCCTCTTCCTCTCCGGATGTTGACTTAGAGATGAGTGCACAGGAAAACCCTCTGAATTCTTGGCACAAGATTTAAATGCACTGGGGTAGAGTGTTAGAGTAATTGACTTCAAGGCCGAAGTACGAGTTTCATTTTGAGGTTGTTAGTGGTTAACATTCCAGTTAAAACTTGTGGAGAGATTTTTTTATTTTTGGGATACCACACCTTTTATGGCCAAGAAGTGGCATTTTAGCAGAAAATACTGTTCACAAATTTGGTGCATCTCCCTTAATCACAGAGGCCACAGTCATTTAATAGCAACAATGCAGTGTTCTGTAGAAGGCAGAAATTGGTCTTTCGTCATTCTCTAAACCGGCTTCCTGTGACATTTCCGATACCCCAGAACTCCCATTCCTGAAAATCCAGAAGGGACATTGTGTGGGGGCTGGATAAAAGGGGAAGAATGGGATGGCATTCAGAAAATGGGATGCAGTCGGGGGAATATTTTAACAATGAGATGGAGGGAGCTGCAGCAGTGAACATCTTTCCGAGGAGGCTTTATAAGCAGAGTCTCTTTCAGTCTAAGCATGACTGCTTGGGCCTCCAGTTGTTCTTGACATCAAATAATTTTCTAGCTTTCGTTTTTGTTGCTGGTACTTCCACTGTCGCTGCTTTTCCCTGAAGCTGGAACATGTGCATGTTTACGTTTCATGGTTTTTATTTGATGTGCTCGCTGACTATAATAGATGAAATGAAGAAGCCTGCATCCATAGAAACATTACACATGGTGCTCGTAAAAAGCAGCGCGAGTCCTCTTAAACGTAATTGGCTGAGATGTGCGCATCAGCGCCATGGTGACTCATCGTCTCCCGCTTGCCGGTCTGCAGGGAGCATCATCCGCTGCATGCGGCGTTTAGAGGAGCTGCTGAGGCAGATGTGTCAGGCCGCCAAGGCCATCGGGAACACCGAGCTGGAGAACAAGTTTGCAGAAGGTGAGCTCTACTCCGCTTCATCCCCCCCCCACACCTGCATTACCCTGCCCACATCCCCCCCCCAGCCCTGAGAGGGATAAGGGCCAGGGAGGTTCCAGTTTAGGACATCAACATAAGCTACTTTTCTTAGTCACACCAACATACTTGCTACGACTGTGAAACGTCCATGACAGCCACTTCAGGTTAATGGCTGTCAAGCTTCTAAAAAGCCAGAAACTACTGATTTATCACTATTAGTATTTCTTACTACAATCGGCTGTTCAAAAGCTGAGATTCAATACATATTCAAGTTCATATTAATGTTAAAATTAAACAGCGGAAATCATATCAATGCATTGTCCTTACTGGTTGTATATCCTCTCTGCCCCAGGCATTACGAAAATCAAGAGGGACATTGTCTTTGCTGCAAGTCTGTATCTGTAATTTTGTAACATTGTGAACATGTGCACAGAAATTAATCACAGCCCATATTTCATCAGAATGTCTATTTGACGCTGGAGGACATGTTATGTTGAATACTTTTATTTGTGTTAATGCCCCCCCCCCCCCCCAAAAATGTACATTTTTACTTAAAATTTTAATAAAAAAAATCTGTAGTGGTTTTTTTTAATAGCACATATTAATGGTATTTGAGGGAATACACAGGACGCTTTGGTAAATAGAGGCAGCAGTCTGGCCAAGGCAGTTCGCAGTATCAGGCGTCCATAATGAGTTGTCTCTCCAGAATTGCAGACGCATTGATTGAGAGCGAGAAGCTGCATTACATTCACAAGCTGTCCAACTCAGCAGGCTTCCCCTTAGCTGGGGCTGCCATAGTGGTTTCCATGTGTGGGGCTCTCCTGTAGACTGGAGTGTGTGATTTCCTCGTCTCTCTCTGGCTCCACTGACTTCTTAAAGAAATCAGACACGAATACCACCTGTCCAAGAGAGGAGGTTTAGGGTGAGCAGGAGTGCCACTGTAGATCTCTTCCCAAAAGCACTGTGAAGCACTATTGCTTTAGTCTGCTTTAGGAAATAACGGTTTTCACTTACAACCAGTATAGCCATTAAGGCTCCCTGTAAGAGTCCAACCAGGACGTCGCTCCAGTGGTGCTTGTAGTCGGACACCCGCGACAGACCCACGTAGACCGCGGCTGCGATCAGGAAGAACTGGATTGTGGGCCGGAGGAGTCTCGCCCACTCCGTCTGAAGCCTTGCTTGAACGTAAAGCTGTCGAGTAGATTTTGAAATGGGTTACTGACTGTTACTGGGGTTAACCATCTAGCACCACAGTGAAGCAGGACAGTTTCTGTAAATGCCGTGTGCTTGAATAGCAAGTATTATGTGTAGCAAGTTGTACTGCTGAATCATTTTCATATTTTGAATAATCTTTTATTCTTAGTGCAGCAAGGGGAGCCTCTTTCTAATTTAATTTGTGACATTTCTTTGGAATGGGTCTAAATTTGTGTCAGGGGTCCAAAATACAACAGCAACTCTGTCACCACAATGTTAAAAATAAGTATGAAGTTGTTTTTTGGCAGCATGTAAAATATGTAAAATATTCTGGAAACTTTTTTTGCTCTGCCTTGCTTAGTGAATCTGGAAATGGCTTTCCCCTTCAGCTGCTTGTACAGAATGTGGCTCTTGTCTCTTCATATTGTTTCATTACGAGCCGTTGCAGTGCAGCCAGAGGTATGAGCACATCAGTTGCAGGAAAAGACCCATGGCTATTTTGGACAGTACTGGCCTTTGCACATACACTATAAGCCAAAAGCTTTGGGAGGCCCCTCCAAATCATTGAATTCAAGTGTTCCAATCACTTCCATAGCCACAGGGGTAAAATCAAGCACCTAGGCATGCAGACTGCTTCTACAAACATTTGCAAAAGAATGGGTCTCACTCAGGAGCTCAGTGTGGTACCGTGATTGGATGCTATCTGTGCAATAAGTCCATTTTTGAAAGTTCCTCGCTACTAAGTATTCCACGGTCAACTGTTTGTGGTATAACAGTATAAAGTGAAAGCAATTGGAAACTCAGCCACGAAGTGGTAGGCCACGTAAAATCAGAGTGGGGACAACGCATGCTGAGACACACAGTGTGCAGAAGTCGCCAACTGTCTGCAGAGTCAGTAGCTACAGACCTCCAAACTTTGTGTGGCCTTCAGATTAGCTAAAGAACAGTGCATAGAGAACTTCATGGAATGGGTTTCTATGGCTGAGCAGCTGCATCCAAACCTTACATCACCAAGTGCAATGCAAAGCGTCAGATGCAGTGGTGTAAAGCACGTCGCCACTGGATTCTAGAGCAGTGGAGATGTGTTCTCTCAAGTGACGAATCACGCTTCTCTGTCTGGCAATCCGTCTGGGTTTGGCAGTTGCTAGGGGAACGGTACTTACCTGACTGCATTGTGCCAAGTGTAAAGTTTGGTGAGGGGGGATTATGGTGTGGGCTTGTTTTTCAGGGATTGAGCTTGGCCCCTTAGTTCCAGTGAAAGGAACTCTTAGTGCTGCAGCATTCAAAGCCATTTTGGACAATTTCATGCTCCCAACTTTGTGGGAACGGTTTGGGGGTGGCCCCTTCCTGTTCCAACATGACTGTGCACCAGTGCACAAAGCAAGGTCCATAAGGACATGGATGAGCGAGTCTGGTGTGGAGGAACTTGACTGGCCTGCACAGAGTCCTGACCTCAACTCGATAGAACACCATTGGGATGAATTAGAGTGGCAACTGCGTCCTACATCAGTGCCTGACCTCACAAATGCTCCCCTGGAATAATGGACAATTCCCATAAACACACTCCTAAACCTTCGCAGAAGAGTTGAAGCTGTTATAGCTGCAAAGGGTGGGTCAACTCCATATTAAAGCCTATGTATTGAGAATGGGATGTCATTAAAGTTCATGTGTATGTAAAGGCAGGTGCCCTGATACTTTTGGCAATATAGTGTAGTTGGCATGTTTTGACTGAGGTTGAGCTGTTACAACTAATAGAAATGTTTGGTTTCTCATCCGCTCATTCTTTCCCTCAGCAGCAGCCAAGTGGCCACAGTGGCATAGCCTCAGTGTTCCTGTGGTCATCCAGTCTGTCGCCTTGTGTGTCAGTGCTGCACTCCAGCACGCAGACGGCCTCTAAGCCTCAGTGTTCCTGTGGTCGTCCAGTCTGTCGCCTTGTGTGTCAGTGCTGCACTCCAGCACGCAGACCGCCTCCAAGCTTCCCCCTGCGGCTCTGGCCCCTTCAGCTTTCCACTCACCCTCCTCAAACACTGCCCATGTCCTGTTTGTATTGCACGCTGAAATTAGCTTTTGAAAGTTGCCAAGCGACTGGAGAAATAATGCATAATGCACAGGAGATCCGAAATGTGACCCGGTTTATTTAAAGACAGATTTCCCGATACATGACAAGAACGATGCAATCTGTATTCAAGCACTGAGATGAGGACTGGCCATATTCTGACTGAAGTATCATAGCAGCCAAGCTAATGTGGTTCTGATAAGTCATTTCTCTGGGCCAGTATGATACGGGCACAGCTGGAGGAGTCATAGGGACGACCATTTCTCAGAGTTATAACAAAGCTCAATCCAGACATTCTAATAAATCCGTTTGGTCTCTCAAAGCCTATAACAGAAGCACATCTAAATGTAATATCCTGTGCTTTCATGGGCTGTTAATTCTAGAAAAAGAAAATACCTAGTATTTGGTAGTGTAAGTCACCTATACCTGTTTTGGCCTAGAATATCTGTGGCCGTAACTTAGTATGTTGTATTTCTGCAGCACTTATAACCAGTATGAGCTATAAAGCACATTACTGTGGGTATTGTGCAGCCTGACCAAAGCAGATGAAGTCTTAGCTTAGTTTCAATGATTAATGAGAGTTCTTGCAATGTAGGCAGGCGCCATGGAGACAAGGCAGAACTCAGTAACAGTCACGGCCCACACACGCCATCGTCTCTCTCTCTGCCTTCTCCCTGCCTGCACCTTCCCTCAGCGGCCTCCACCAGGCTTCATTTCAGAATTCTACTTCTGTCACATATGAAGACTCACCTGGTAATTACATTCCTTGCCTACTGCTGTCTGGGTCTCCACTTTCAGACCATATAGTACAGGCCAGATCAACTCCAGCCACTGATGTTCAGGGATAGTATGGCTTGCTTGCTTTCACCACATTCCTATGATCTGATCCCCTACTATCAAGTCTTAAATAACTTAAGAAGCAAAATATTATTGTTACAGCCATGTTAGAAAAGATACAGTTGTACAAACCTACACTTCAATATTTCAGTGGATAACTAGTCTGCCACCACTAAGTATTTATGAGCCTGTAAGGAACATATTACATAAACAGCAATCTTCCTACTGCTTAACATTTCATACATTCCAGTAATGTTCTGTCATGTTATATTCCAGTCATGGATATATCGTGTCATGACATCAAGTGGACTTTGGTCGTGGTACCAGCCATCAGCTGCAAACAGTGTGTAATTTACCTATAGGACTGAAATATAACGCCACAATCACACAATCTTACTATATTGCATAGAATGTTTTAAGAATATGGTGGATAATTTATATATTGGCCTCTTCACTTGCTTAAAAGAAATGAGAAAAAATACTTACTGCTAGGAACAACATGCAGTACATGGAAAAGGAGGAATGACCCGAGTAAAAGGAGAGTCTGAAAAAGAGAAAGAACACGGTGAGCATTGTGATTGGCTGAATGTAAAACATCACAAAGCAGGTAAGATGCTGCTAATGTTTGATAAGTCCTCTCATTGTTCACCAGAAAAACTGGAACACACCTACTTCCTGGTGGCCTGAATGTGCCAAATGTCAAAACCTTTAAAGGCTGTAATTCACCAGAGGATGTGGAAGCATAAAAAGAAAATATGGGAAATTATTCAACGGGGACCTAGTGCCTTCCTGTTTGTGCAATTATGCCAGTAACCCTGAAATCCACCCAGTCAGCCCTGACAACAATGCTAAAGTCATAAAATCCAGCTGATGCATCTAGCCATAACACGGACTCTAGTTTTGTCTGAATTCTTTAGTATTTAAAAAAAAAATCACAAGACATATTACATGCTGTATGAAATCGTCTAAATAAAAATGACATAATTAGCAATGTTTTCGGGAGTGAAGAACATGCATCACTTCTGTTTTGGGGCACAACCCAGTTTATCGATCTAACATCATCAAACTGAAATGTGCTGCATTTTGGGAATGAACACCATGGTAACAATGAGCCATCTTGGAAGCTCTGCAAACTATAAAAACATACCACCACAACTCCTACTGGCTCCACTGGAAAATGCTTGTATTGCCAGAATATGATCCTATGATTTTCCAGAATATTGTTTTGCCATGCAGGACTTCTATTAATGACACCCACACACAACGCCTGCCACCGTGATTGTAAACTCATGTGCATTTTTCTATTATAACCTTTTAGTGGAGCTGTTTATAGATTTTTTTTCCCATTTAACTGTTAAATGTAATTTATTTGTATAATTTAATGAGACTGAAGGCCCTTAATGAAAATAATTCTCATTGAAAATGGACAGAGGATTTTTGGACTATGATGCAGGTGTTTCTGATTCACTAATTAAATAAAGGTCAGTTTAATTT